TTGGCGCGGATGGGGAAACCCTTCCTTCTCATGGCGTTGGCAATGTACCTGGCGCCGTCGTGGTGTGTGCAGACGATGACGCTCTTCTTAGCAACGTTTAGGCCCTGGTTCTGGAGCGCCGTGCAGGTGTCGGCGAGGCAAGCTACCATGCGGCGGCGTAAAGCTCGTCGGCTGGCTTGCAGGCGCTGCGACAGGTCGTCGACCCAAATGCGGTGCTGGAGGTCGGGGTAGTGATGGGTGATGCGCTGTAGTGCCTTGTAGGTCATGATCTTGGCGAAACGTGTACCTGAACGTAGTCCCTGTACGACAGAGCGTGTGGGGTGGAGTGCTTCCGCATACGCACCGCTCTGCATGAGCGAGCGGGGGGCGGTGAGCTGCAAGATCTCCAGCCCGAGAACTTCAGGTGGGAAATTGAGGTCGAGCGCGTCGTTGATGAGGGTGACCCAGTGGATGGAATCGTAGAACTGGGCGATGTCCAGTAGCCCGTGCGCCTGCGGGATGCTGAGGTAGGTCGAAAGCTCCTCGTGCAGGCACCTTTCGTACGCCTCACGGAAAGCCGAGTTGCCTTTGGCTATGGCGTCCCAGTGTGCGAAATAGTATCGATTCCACTGTTGTACATGTTCTTCACGCGCCATGGACCGCAGTCGTGCAACCATCGTCATGAGGCCAAGGATGCGGTCACCGTTGTCCTTCTTGGCCCGCGTGACACCGATGGTGTGTAGGAGTTGGTGTGGCCAGGCTTGGAGTCGTTCCGCTGTTGTAAGTAGGTCGGCCAATTCCTGGAGTGCCTCTTGCGGGGGCCGCTGGAAATCTCCAGGTCGTAGGCGGTCGGCACCAAGCGCGGTGTTGGCCTTGAGGCGAGAAGCGGCCCGTCGGAGGTCGTCCGCGGTGAGCGCGGGGAGTGGGCACTCCTGTATGCGGTCGACGATGCGTTGGAAGGCGGCCTCCAGGCTGTGGTAGTCGACGTCGTGGGGGGCCCACAGGTCGGTCCAGGTCTGTATCTTCTGGTCTATGAGCTCCTTGGGGTGCATGATAGTGCCTCCGTCGGACAATGTGACCTCTGCTGGCTGTGGTTGGGGCCGTAGGGAGCGATGGAGTGTTCCCAAGGCCTCGGGCGTGGTTGCCCACTCGCTGAATGCACGAACGGACTTGCGTATTGCCCGTTGTTGGGCTCGCTTGGCAAGTCGGTTGGCTCTGGTTGCGTGTGCCACGATGTAGCCGTCGTCGGCGAGCTCGATCTGCTGCAGGAAAAGGATCCACTGGTCCCAAGTGCGGTCGTCTTTGGGTGTGACGATGCTGGCTGCAGCTGGGGGTGGTGAGTCAGCGAGGCGCCGTAGGTCACGATACAGCTGCTGGAGTTGCAGGTGTCCGTTCCTGCGGGCTCGATGTCTGTGCGCGTTCTGGAGTAGAGTGTGTACGCGTGTCCACCAGTTGCTGGAGAAATCGGCGAGAGGCGCTCTCCTCTTGCACTGTAGCTCGCGGACAACCGTGATCTGGTAGCTGGGTCCTGTGGCGCGGCTGGCGCCAGTGAAAGGTACCTGGTGGTGTGTGTGGAAAGTGGCCTCGACAGTCGTGGCCCAAGAGCCGTAGGTCTGCCCAAGCTGAAGGGTCAAATCAGGCTTGAGCCGGAAAGCTACGGAAGCAGTGGCTGCAGGGGCAGGCATCGTGCAGCTGGCTGGCAGGGCATTGATTTGTTCCCGAGAGGCGCTCCAGAGCAAGCTAGGGATTTCGAAATCCACAGCGGTAGAACTAAACTCCCCAGATCCTGGGCACGGTTCATTGGGGCCAGGTTGGGGAAAATTCGTGGATTTGGGAAAACTGTCTGGCATGGTCTCCTCGGGTACGACAGGCACGTCAGGGGGGTTCTCACGCTGGGCTGGTGAAAAGGTCTCTGACTGTTGGGCAGGATGAATAGAAGAGGCAACGGGGACAGAATCGCGGGCGGAGAGAGCAGCGGGCAGCCTGTCCTGGGCGGCGGGCGTGTCTCTCGGGGCGACACCACTAGAAATCTGAGGCAGAGAGGCATCGGCCGTGTATTCTCCGTGTGCCGAGATCCGCGAATCACAAAGATGAACGGATGAGGCATCGGAGGTGGGTGAAGCAAACGAGCCGAGCGAGCACTGTTTTGTCTCCTCGCGAGCGGGGTTCGAGACAGCAAGCGGCACGGCTGGCCAAAAACTCGTCTCGTGCGCCCACGGGTCTTCCTCCTCGGAAAGCTGGGCTGAATCGACCTCGTCGCCCTCTGAAGTGGGGCTGTCGCCAGCACTGGTGGACTCGGCGTCGGCATCTTGGCCTTCGCTGGTCCGTAAATCTGCAAAGAGAGTGGCATGAAGAGACTGTTTTCTCTCGGTTGCCTTCTCCATGCGGGCTGCTCGCTGGGCTCTGGCAAGACTTGTCTTAGACCCAGTAGTAGCAGCCTTGCGAGGGCGAGCGACGTGTGGCAAGCACCTCGGGAGCTGAAGAATTCGCGTGAGCAATTGCTCGCCAGACTGGATGAGCTGGAGACGCAATCCAATGTGGGGCTTCCACGGGACATCTAACACTGGCGAGAGGCTGACCAGGTATGGGCGGGCAGCAGCACTGTGAACGAGAAAGTCCAAATGCGATGGCTTACGTCCTCCACCGGGGTCGCATGTGTGTTCGACAGAAGCGCACATGATCTCTCCTTGGGTCTGTGCTAGGAAACCTGACTGAGTGAGTGCAGCAGGGCTAAGGTTCCAATCGGCAATGACGAACCAATGGAGCTGGAGGGAGCGAAGAAGGCTCCCGAGCTTCCTGAAACGAGTTAAATTGGGCCCTCGCATGCCGACACTGCAGAATCCATAGAAAAGAACTGCAACAATAGAATAACCACGGAGATGGAGGACAATTGGCAAAAAGCCGTCGAGGGAGGGGTGAGGGGAAACCTGTAGGTCCTTGGACTGGACCGCCTCGACGAGAGGGTGGGCATGGAGATGCCCTCTGGGGAGAAACCATTCTCCACCCTCATCCGCGTGTGAAACTGCGGACATGGATTCAGCCTCTAGATGGGAATCAGCAGTCCACCCTTCAGAATCAGCGCGTGATGTGGGTCGAGCGAGGTTGGCGAAGAGCCTGCGATTGATGGACCTGAGCCTCCCCTGCCACTGTGATACACTGGCTGCATTGGCGTGGGTCTAGACAAAACCGATGTAGTCGTCACTGCTGGCCTGGATCCACTCATGGACTTTCCCACCGAAGCAAGTGACATTGCTGAAGAAGAAACTACTAGTACTGGTAGGAGAGTTGGCATCACCTTCCCCCGTGATGCTGGGGTCACCTCCGCCTCGTCAATGCGAGGTGGCTCGCTTGGTGGCGGTGGAGCGGCCGTTCCCTTTGCCTGCCTTCTGGGCGGCCGTCTCGGGGGCAGTGTCCTTGTTCATGGCGGCGTGGGCGGCGAACTTGGCGGCGGACAGGCGAGCGGCCTCGGCAGCCAGCGCAGCGTCATCCTCCTGCTGCTGCGCCTGCGCCTGGGCGGCTGCGGGTGGCGGCTCGCCTCCAGCGTCGGCGGCCTCGCCTGCGCTGGGGGGCTGTCCACCGCCAGTGTGGCCGCCAGCGGGCGGGGCAGCACCAGGCGTGGTGCTGGCTTGGCCGTCGTCGCCCTTGCGCTTCTTCTGGTAGCGTGCCTCGCGTGCCTGGCGCACGACTGTGGCACGGCTGATGAGCTCCTGTGCCTGAGGGCCCTTTGTGGCGAACTGCTGCTTGAGCTCCTCGAGCCCCTTCTTGACGGCGTTGAGCTCCTGCTGCTCGGTGTCGGTGAAATCGAGCTCCTCGATCTGCTGGAAGAGCGTGGGGTCCCACGAGGCTGTGAAAGGCGCCTCGGGTGGGTGGTCGGGCTTGCTGGCGGAGTTCTTGGTGTCGTCTGGGTGTCCGACTCCTTCGGCATGTGCCAGCGCCTGAACAGCCTTGCGCTTGGCGGCCTCCGTCTTGGCGACCTCGAGGGCGGCCTCGGCCTCCTTGGCTTCTGCCGTGGACAAGGCCTGGCGGAGCCGCACGACGTTGGCCACGACCTGATTGTGGTGGTTGACTGCACTACGCCACGTTCCGTCTGCCTTCCTCATGGCCTCAACCTCGCTGACCTTGGGCTCGGTCTCCTGGGCACCGAGGCGCTGCATCTGAGCAGCGAGGATGGCCTGCAAGGCGGGGTCGGTGGCAGCCGCAAGTGCCTGGCGTAGGTGATTGGCGAGGGCGCCGTTGTCAGCACTCGGCGTCGCCGTCTCATGGCGAGGGGCGGCTGGCGGCGGCGTGTCGGGGTCGATGATCTCCTCGGGCCCGAACCTCACCTGGCTTGGCGAACGAGAGCGGCTGCGATGCATGCGCACGGGCCGATTGCAACGTGGGCATGTGGGGGCCAGCGGGTCGAGGCGATCGTTGTACTCGCACGTGTTGCAGCCGCGGCAGCGCGTCCATGGCCGCGATGAGGAATGCCAGGCAGCGGTGCCGCGGGCAGCCTGGCTGGTGCTGCGCGGCGGCGGCGCGCGGGTGCGAGCCATGAGCCCCAGCTTTGGTCGACCGTAAAACCTGCAAGGGAGCGGGTGCACGGAAGTCCCTCAAGCACCTCGCGGAGGTACTGGGGCAGCCCTGGGAAATGGGGGCCAGGGCCGAAGTGGCTTGAGGGAGAATGAGGAGGAGGAGGTGGAGGAGGAGGAGGAGGAGGAGGAGGAGCACATGGAAGAGCAGGAGACGGATGAGGAGTAGGAGAGGAAGAAGAGGATGATTAGGAAGAGGAGAAGGATGAATACATGACAGAGGCGGAGGAACATAGGGAACTGCATTAAGGGTCGGATGCGGAACGGTAGGACGTAGGAGGAGGAGGAGGAAGAGGAGGAGCAGGAGGAGGAGCAGGAGGAGGAGGAGGAGGATGAGGAGGAGGAGCAGGAGGAGCAGGAGGAGGAGGAGCAGGTGGAGCAGGAGCAGGAGCAGGAGGAGGAGGAGGAGGAGGAGGCGACCTCTCGATGGCCGCCCCCTCCCTGCGTGCGCAGGCACGGGTCCCAGCACCTGGACTTCAAGACGGGCTTCAACCTGACGCTCTGCTACTACGCCCTGATGCCGCCAGCGGGCGAGAAAGACCGCGAGCGGGACGCTGGGCGCGCGAGGGTCAAGCAGTGGCGAAGCGTCCTGGCTCGCCTTACAGGGCAGGTTTTTGATATATCGTTATATATATATATGAATAAACTATTTTATTTTTAATCCATGATTAATGTATGCATACATGTATGCATGAACTTATCGTTGTTTTTTATACTAGATCCCTGCATTTTTAATACATGAGCCGCACGCGGAGCATGTATTCAACACGGCACTGTAGGCCCACCAAGTCATGTTCGACGAATTTTGTGTGGTCTGCACGAGCTGTTCTTAGGACATTTATGGCGGCGGCCGTCTTGCTTCAGCGCCTCGGGCTTCTGTTCTAAGAGCACCGTTTCTGTTCTCAGAGCACCTGCCGGGCTATAAGAGTATTGCGTGGTGGGCCCATAGGCATGCGGGAGGGCCGGTCTCTGCTCAAGAGAGAGCCAGCCCGGGCTCGGGGATGTTCTTGGGCCTCCCGCGGTGCCCCCGGGGGGCGCTCTCCGGGCCCGGGGACGGCCAGAAGCGGACCCCGGGCGAGAGGCTACACCAGAGGGGCCCAGGGATGGGTCCAGGGAGGGATTTTGAGCGGACTTGGCTTCATCTCCCCCTCCTGATCGATTTGTCCGCCTCCAGAGAGAGTTCTGAGTCGTGCGGCGCCCGGCGGAACGGCAAACAGCCAACGCGCAAGTGCCTTTTAGCCGAAGCTTGTTCGTCTGAAGAGCGTGGGTGTCCTCTTCGGCTCAGCTTTGCGTTTGTCTGCTTCCGCTTGGTCTTAGGATTCGGCGTGCGAGTTGGAAGTGGATTTGGTAGGTTTCGGATGGGAGCGGCGTCAAAACGCCAACGTCCACGATGCGAAGCGCAGTTTCGTTTGTGTGTGTGTGTGTGTGTTGCGTTGCACTTGTTATTGTATAGCTTTTTTTGTGTACGCTATGTTAGTCTGCTGCAGCTTGATCTTTTCATACCGTCTGTGAGTCTGCAGACGTTTCTGGAAGGTCAGGGAGAGCGCAGTGCCCACAGCGCCAAGCATCCTAATATGAAGCACTGCTTTTTTTGTGCATTGCATTTTTTTGTGCACTGCATGTGTTCTGCGTTGTACGTGCTGTTTTGCATTGCATTATGTTGCCTTTCGTTTGGCTGCAGATTCCACGAATGAGTTGGCCCAAGGGCTCGGTGCCCCAAGGCTCAAATTAAAGTAATCAGAAATACAGCTTGTGGTGTCATTGCAGTGGTCTGGCATTACAGATTTGATTATGCACTACATTATTGTGCGCTTGCTTTGGCTGCTTCAAGTTGAGTTTCGGATTCCGCGTGTGAGTCGGAAGATGTTTGAGGAGGTTCAGGAAGGGCGCGGTGCCAGAATCACCGAAGGCCATGAAACGAAATGTTCGCATTGCATGTCCCCGCCGTGTTTCGAGTTTTGTTTTTTTGGTATTCGTGTAACGCGTCCGCTCCCTTCTCCTCCGCCATCACTCAACACTCAGACCACTCATGCCCAGACGCACTCCTCACTCGCAGACTCCCTCACACGCGTATCGACTGCTACTCAGACTTGTTGCTCCTATGCAGGCTCAGTCATGCACGCGCCACTCCCACTCAGATCCATTCCTACCTGGCAAGTCACACCCAGACTCATAGCGACAGGAGGCGTGCCACTTGGTTCCCCGACGGGGGGGAACCGCCAAGGGGCACTCCACTCCCTCGTTCGCGCCAAGATTCCGTGGACGTCCCGAGCGGTTGGCTTTCCCAGACCCATTTCTTCTGACTGCCTGTCCCCGCGACCCCCGCGGCTCTGCAGGCGCTGCACTCGGGCACCCCGCGCGGGAGCCGCTGGGAGGGGGGGGGGGGGGGGCGCAGTTTCCCGTTCGCGGCCAGGGTTTTGGGGATGTCTCGCGGGGTCTGCTCGTTTCGTGGCTGGAGCTCCCTCTTGCTTTCAGGGCAGACCTTGAGGCTTCTTGTCTTTAGCACCCCGGCGGGGGGAGGCGCCATGGGCTGTGATGCTCGACCGTTCGCGGCGACATGGTGGGGACGTCTCGTGCGGTGTGTTCGTTTCGTGGCCCGGGCCCCTCTGCTTTCAGAGCAGATCGTTGGGATCTCTCGTGTGAGGCGCGTGTTTTAGCACTCCCATGGGGGAGCCGCCACAGGGGGTGTTGCACGGGCCCTTTCGCGGCCAGGCTGCTGGGATGTATCGAGCGAGGCGCTCGTTTCGTGGCTTGGGCTCCTCTTGCTCTCGTGGTGGATCGTGAGGATGTCTCGATCGAGTGAGACGCAACGCTTGTTTAGGCCCCCCCGACACCTCTCCTTTCAGAGCCCCAGGAGCACCCCGATATTTAGGCTTCCTGGGCGCTGCGTTAGGCTTCCGTAGTTCGAGGGTCGGATTCCGCGTGTGGGTCGGGGTCGAAGATCCTGCCGGACGGCGCTGGAGAGAAGCCCAGCGGAGCAATCTGGCGCCACGGGGGCGCCCCTGGGGGCGTCGTGGGGGCGCCGTCGGACGCCGCGCCGTGTGTGCCGAGACTGCCCTGGGCCGCCCCGTCCGGGAACGCTTGGGGCAGCTGGGGTTGTGCCCTTCCCGGGGGCCGGTCACGGGCGCAAGTCCCAGGCCCTGCCGGCGAAATTTGCGTGCGAGAGGACTTGGGGGCGTCGAGAGAAGGGGGTGATGACCAGGGGGGTTGCACATCATGGATGGGGCCATGGAGTCTCCCCATCGTCCCAGAAGGCGGGGAGGAGGAGGAGGAGGAGGAGGAGGAGGAGGAGGAGGAAGAGGAGGAGGAAGAGGAAGAGGAGGATGAGGAGGAGGGGAGGAGGAGGAGGAGGAGGAGGAGGAGGAGGGGAGGAGGAGGAGGAGGAGGGGGGGAGGGGGAGGAGGAGGAGGAGGGGGGGAGGGTCGCTACGGGGCTTGACCCCAATAGCGCGCGAAGTAGTGGGAAACAGCGGGAGGAGGGGGAAGAGGACGAGGAGGAGGAGGAGGAGGAGGAGGAGGATGAGGAGGAGGAGGAGGAGGGAGGAGGAGGAGGAGGAAGGAGGAGGAGGAGGAGAGAGGAGGAGGAGGGGAGGAGAGGAGGAGGAGGAGGAGGAGGAGAGGAGGAGGAGGAGGAGGAGGACAGATTTCATGGCCCCTCCTCGTCTTGCCGCACGTGCCATGCCTGGTCGCGCGCCACCTGCCTGCCGCGTGCTGCGCAGGCCCCGCCGGGCGGCCGAGCGCGCGCGCGCGTTGTCCCTCCCCCCTGCTGCCCCCTCCCCCGCCCTCTCCGGGCCTCCTCCGCCTCCTCCTCCTCCTCCGCCTCCTCTCCCTCCTCCTCCTCCTCCTCCTCCTCCTCCTTCTTCCTCCTCCTCCTCCTCCTCCTCTTCCTCCTCCTCCTCCTCCTGCCCCCCCCTGTCGTCCCTTCGTCCGTCGTTTCCTCCCTCCTCTGCCGCTGGGCTCCTCCTGTTTGGGAAGAAGAGCCCTGCCCCCCTCCCCCCCTAGCCCGCACACGTGCCTCGGGACATGATTTGCGGTGGGCGTGCGACAGCGCTGCGACTCAAGAAGTGCCTCTCCCTCCTCCTCCTCCTCCTCCTCCTCCTCCTCCTCCTCCTCCTCCTCCTCCTCCTCTTCCTCCTTCCGTAGCCATTTTGGCTCAAGTCCGTAGCGGGTGGCTCAGCGACTTGAGGGTGGCAAGGGGGAGGTGCGCCCCCACCTGCGATCCCTGGGCCGTCGTCCAGGCTGTTTTCACACACGGCCTCACGGCCACTCCGCGATTGTACCTGGTGCCCCACTGGCACAACATCTTCCCGTTCTGGGTGAGCTCCTGGAGGAGCCCATGGGCAAGGATGCCGCCAAAGGCTACCTTTCTTGCTCAAGCTGCCGATACCGCTGGAACTGGAAGTCGCGTGAAAGTTGCTGCTTCTGTGGCAATGCGTTGGTCCCCTCGTCGCCGATGCCGTGGCGCCAGGCCAAAGGAGTTTGGTCGCCAGGCGACTATGGTGGTGGCCAACAAGGGCCCGCGCACCCGCCAGGGACCTGGGCACCCAGCCGCCTGGAGGCACCGAAGGTCTCGACGCCACCACAGCGAGGGGCGGCCCCGCAACCGACAGTGGCGGATATCCTCAAGCAGCTCCAGCAGCATGTCAAGGCGGACGCAGGTGCGCAGGAGCTGCAGGCCTTGGTCAGGGTTGTGGCGCCGCCCGCGCCTGCGCAGCCAGCCCGCCAGCCGCTGTTGGAGGAGACCATCAGTGCGAAGGGACTGGCGTGCACGAGGGCGGAGAAGGCCCTGGAACATGCGGTCCGCCAGGAGGATGAGGCGCGGCGCTGGCTGGCGGAGTGCAGCCAGAAGACCCAGGAGGCGGCAGTTTGGGCGGTGCAGGCCAAGACTGCCTGGCAAGAGGGGCTCAAGGTCGAGCTGCAGAAGGCCCGTGGCTCGACGCCTGGTGTGGGGCCTCCGCCAGATGCGGTGCATATGCCGACTGGCTCCCAGATCAACCTGTCGCAGGTGCTGGGGGAGGAGAGTGGCTTCGAAGGCGTGGAGATCGTGGACGGCGAGGCTCTCGACCTCAGCGAGCCCGAGATTGAAGACGAGGACAAGCAGCGGTGACTTGCCCTCAAAAGCAACATGGCGGCGGAGATCCAGAAGGCAATTGTTGCTGCCATCGGGCCCAGCGCTGACAACATTAAGCGGCTCAGAGCTGAAGCCAGAGACATGCGGAAACGCTTGTCGGCCAAGCGTGCCCGCCAGTCCGACCGTGGTGAGGGCGCCAGTGCCGCCGCCGCCGCCCAGCCTGGGACGCCACCCGCATCGGCGCCTGGGGCTCCTCCTGCGGCTGGTGCTGCCGTGTCTGGTGCTGAGTTTGCAGTGCCTGAGTCGGCGGCCACGACACCCTCGGGGAGAGCCGACACTCCCAGCACCCAGGAGCTGCAAGCTGCTGTCGAAGCGGCAAGAGCCAAGCTGGCCGAGGGCAGTGGGTCGGGCCTCTAGGGCTCAGCAGCTGCCAGGCAGGTGGCGCGCGTTTTTTTTGGTTTTTTTTTGTTTGTTTTTCGGGGCTGGCGGTCCCTGGGGAGCCCGTGGAAGGGCATACCCTAAAGGCAGGCAGCGGGTCCTGGATGGAGGCCGCAGACGTGCGGGTGGTCGATGCCTTCGATCGGATCCAGCCTCCACCTTGGGCTGCAGACGTGCAGGTGGTCGAAGCCCCAAGGTGGAGCGGCCTTGCCCCCTCACCGCATGCGAGGCGGTGGCGCGCTGTTTTTTTCGGGGCTGGCGGTCCTTGGGGAGCCCATGGAAGGGCAGACCCTAAAGGCAGGCAGCGGGTCCTTGATCGATGCCGCAGACGTGCGGGTGGTCGATGCCTTCGATCGGATCCAGCCTCCACCTTGGGCCGCAGACGCGCAGGTGGTCGATGCCCCAAGTTGGAGCGGCCTAGCCCCCACGCTGCATGCGAGGCGGTGACGCGCTGGTTATTCAGGGCTGGCGGTCCCTGGGGAGCCCGTGGAAGGGCGGACCCTAAAGGCAGGCAGCGGGTCTTGAATTAGAGCCGCAGACGAGTGGGTGACCGATGCCTTCGATCAGACTCAGCCGCCACCCTGGGCTGCTGACGTGCAGGCGGTCGAGGCCCCAGCGTGGGGCGGCCTTGCCCCCCTCGCAGCAGTGGAGGCGGCGGCGCGCAGGAGGTTCGGGGCTGGTGGTCCCTGGGGGGCCCGCTGGAGGGCAGACCCTAAAGGGCGGCAGCGGGTCTTGGATCGATGCCGCAGACGTGCGGGTGGCCGAAGCCTTCGATCAGACCCAGCCTCCTTCCTGGGCTGCAGACGCGCAGATGGTCGATGCCCCCGGTCGGAGCGGCCCTCCACCCACATCTCGGAGATTGGATTTCCAACTGGTCAACTACAACAGCAGTTCGTGGTCTACGGCTCAGAATCACATGGGATGGGCCTTGAACGTGAAAGATTTTGTGCTCGATGCCTTATTTAATCAAGAACATAGGCCTGAACTGGAACAGTTCAAATCGGCTCGCAGTTGGGGTCGCACAGCTGGATACATGTCATGGTTCGCGGAAGCGGCGCGAACGGGAGCGGGGCGCCGAGAGACGTCTGGAAGGACGGCCACCGCAGGTGAGGCTCATTTTGGCAGCAACGGGCATGGGCAGAGCAGCTGGTCTGAGAGGCTCTGCGTTGTCAAGGTCATGTTGCACGATTCCTTCCCGTCCATTTTTGGTTCAGTGTGCGGCCGCACCACGCTTGGGCCCTCAGGCGACAACCTTGCGTTTGTAGAGGGGCTCAGGGAAGCGGTGGCCTTGGTGGGCTGCCCGTTTGTTCTAGGAGCAGACTGGAACATTGAAGCGGAGCAGCTGACTACATCCCAATGGGCAGTTCTCCTTGGGGCGACAGTGGTCAGGCCCCCAGGAGAGACGAGCCGCAGTAACGGGTGCGACTTTTTTGAGGTCGGCCGCGGTCTCGAATTTCATGGTAAAGAGTGCATTGAGCAGCCTAACACGCCAGTCGGGCCTCATTCTGCAGTTGTGCTTGAATTCGAGCAGGTGGCTGGACAGGCCAATGCTTGGCCGCGAGTGGTGCCTCGTAGTTTCCCGTTGCCCAAAGATGAAGAGGAGAAGGCCCGCATGCAGTGGGGCCCCAGCCAGCAGTCGCCCCTATTTGACTGGGCTTCGCTCTCGCCCCAAGCAGCGATGGAGCAGGTGTTCGACGCTGCCGAGTTGGCCCGCGGTCGCCTTCATGAGCTAGATGACAAGCAGTTTTTTGGCGGAGCCAAGGGCTGCCAAATTCAGGCAGGGCCGCTTGAAGCAGCGTGGGGTCGGGAGCTGCACAGGCGCTCCCTTCCTGGGACCCAGCGCTGGTTGTCTTTGAGGCGCTTGACCTTGGTGGATATGAAGGCGGCGACAGACGGCAGACGGCGGCGCCTGTTTGACCCGGCCAGGCCGCTGCAGGACCTGCTGGTGGAGGTTGAGGAACCTCGGCTCGCGGGACTGACGGTGGCTGAACTTTTTCAAGGCCTAGGTGGTCCCAGTAGCGTAGGCTTTGTGGATGCCTTTCAGTGTGCAGTGGACAGTAGCGTGCAGCAGGAGGCGGCGGAAGGCCGAAAGAGATGGACAACGTGGGCTCGGTCGGCGGTCGGGCGTCGAGGTCGGGTGGCTCACAAATGCTCGGAAGGCCCCGCTCAGCCTCCTTTGCCAGTCCTTGAGGACGAGGATCTCACTGTGCCAGTAAGAGGTCCCAGGCCGCTTGTCGGGCAGGCGGCACTCGTTCGCACTTTGCGTGGTTGGGAGCTCAAGGTTGAAGGACAAGCGGCGCCTCTTTGGAAAGAAGCGTTCCATGAAGGAGCGCCCGATCTGGTGAGTTTCTGTAAGGTGGCGGCCCACGCGACGGTGACTGTGATGCGCGAAGGGCGTATCAGGCACTGTGAGTGGGAGGGCAGTGCCGAAGCCGATCGGCTTTCGGATTTAAGTGCGCAGCTATGCGGTTGCCCGTCCAACGTTGTCATGATGTCCAAAGGCATGCTCCAGGTCGCACGCCTTCTCCTGCAGTCCATTTGTAGGGGTGAAGCCCCATATGTGCAAGAAGGCAGGTTGGACAATGTCGGAGTCCAGGGGCTCACAGAGATCTCCCTGGAAGGGAGATCCGACTTTGAGGAGGCACTTGAGGCGGTGTGGTGGCGGGGGGGGTGGGTGGTGCTGATGGTGCTGCTGCTCCTGCTCCTCCTCCCGACGCTCCTCAACTGTCCTCGAGACCTCCATCAGAGCCCTTGGCGCCCGAGCTGCTGGTTTTGGCAGAGGATGCCCGTCAGGCCCCTGCTTTCATCGGAGGGCTTGTTTTGCTGCAGCTAGCGGATGAGGATAAACAGCCTCCCATTCTTTTTTGTTCGACCTACGGGGGGTATGCCACGGTGTCTGCGGGATCCAGAGGTCTGCGTCAGGGCTGTGGAGGGTCCCAGCAGACCTTGGCTGACCTAGGCAGGAAGAGCTCTTGGGCAGTCAGCAAGGACATGCACCCCAGCAGGTCTCTCAAACTGGGCTCCTGGCTAAGTCCTGGGGCTTGGGCGCGAGAGCTGGTGTGTGGGGGGGGGGTCTCGGAGCCCAAGAAGGCCCAGATGGGAGATGTAGGTGTGGCCAGAGCCACTTCGGACCATCCTGCACGTGCAGGTTTGTGCCTGGCCGATGTCCTGCAAGCGTTCGGGCCTAATGGGTTCGAAGCCGCTGAGTTGGGGCTGAGGCGATGTGAACGAGGCCCAGAAAATGATCTGGAGGAAGAAGAACTGGGCGGTTTGATACCCAGGGGGGGCCCTGTCGCTGGCCCCATGGCAGGTCTTGGGCCTTCCTGCCAGGGTGACAAAAAGTTCCCCTCTGATGGGCGCCCCTGGGTTGTTTGGACCGTCATAGTTCCTCCCCCCCTTTCCCTTCAGTGGCGTGCGATCCTCCTCTTCCTCCTCTTCCTCCTTCGCCTCCTCGTCCTCCTCCTCTTCCGCCTCCTCCTCGTCGTCGTCGTCGTCGTCATCATTATCATCATCAGCCCCATCTTCATCACAATCACCATCACCATCACCATCATCATGATCACCATCATTATCATTATCATTATCATCATCCTCATCATGACCATCATCACCACCATCATCCTGAGCATCATCACCATCAACATCATCACCACCATCGCCATCATCGATCGCCATCACCATGAACATCATCATAATCATCATCATCAACATCGCCACCATAGTCACCATCGTCATTCTCATCATCACCATAATGATAAATCATCCGTGCACTCATCATTATGATCATCCACATCAGCACCATCACCACCATCTGCTTCATCATCATCATCATCACCATCATCGTCATCATCGCCACCACCATGTTCATTAACACTGTCAGCATCATCATCATCAGCAGCATCATTACCATCACCATCATCATCATCCGTAGCCGTTTTGGCTCAAGTCACTTTGGCCCGAACCATTTTGGAGGACGTCCGCTCTTCGGCCTCGCCTCGCCGGCCCAGAGAGCCCCCCTCGCAAGTGGAGCAGCAGAAGACCGAGCCAGCGATGCCGGCCGCTCGCCGCAGCGGGCTGGTGCCTGCCTCGCTGGTCGCGGCGGCCACTGTGGCTTCCGTCTCGCGCACGTTCGTTGCGCAGTGGGCGCCTGCGTCGCGCTCTGGGCGGACGGCCGTGCGGGGCTTCAAGGAGGACTTCGAGGCGTGGAGGGGGTCGCTGACGCCCGAGGAGAGCACGATGCTCAAGAAGCAGGCGGCGGGCGAGTTCAACAAGAAGTTCCGCAAGTCCGACGAGTTCAAGAAGGACCTGCCGGACGAGAAGGTGCAGTCCTTCTCGAAGATTCTCGGCAAGTTCTTCGAGGCGGAGGCCGACGACTACAAGAAGGAGCCGGGGTCTGAGGCCCCAGACCCTGACGGCCTGCTGTTCAAGGGCACCGAGTCCAAGATGGACTTCAGGCTGAAGAGCCGGATCGTCGAGATCGACCGCGACGCGGAGCGCCGCTACCATTTCGCCGCGTTGAGGACCACGCACGCCGCGTACAGGGGGGAGTTCTGGCCGAGCAGCTCCCCGATGAAGGACGTGTACTATTTCCAGAACAATGACACGGACTCGCACGACATGTTGGTGAAGGCGGTCGAGAATGCGGGGGTGCCTGTGGAGGTTCCTCCAGTCGGCGAGAGGTTCAGCCTGGTGCTTCCCAGATGCTTGTTTCAAGATATCAACGAGGTCGGCGCCAATCTCATTGCCTGGAAGGAGCAGTTTGGCGTTTCGGATGACGACTACAAACAGGCGGTCGAGAAGGTCACCACCGACTTGATTTTGGGATACTATAAGGCCCGCGAGACGATTGAGAAGGACGTCACGGACATGAAGAACTTCTTCAAGTCTCAGTCGAAGGATCTGTACAAGACCAAGGCCGATGTTATGAAGGAGATCTGGAGGGTGT